ATATAAATAAATGCTGATAATATATGCTAGTATCTATCCAAAGTTAATAAAATTTTCAAAAATTTTAGTAACAGTGGTCTTCTATTGAAGATTGTTTTGCCAAAGGGAAGAATTATATATGTCAACTTGTGATAAAGCTTTTTTCAATTACTCCTCATGCAGCGGCATCTGAAAAAATTTGATCAATGCTTGGCTGGTATTATAGAAAATGCCGAACTCGACTTGCCTTATACAAACTCGAAAATATGCAAAAATTAGCTACATTTTATATTTCTAATACTAAAAAAGAATTGTCATATTATGGTATTAACAAAACTCCTAGCAAATTATAAAAAAAAATTATTAAAAGCAAAGTGTTCGAAGATAATAATGAAGAAGAAGATATTATATCTGTGCCTGAAGATAATACTGAAAATAATATTAATAAAAACAAGATGGAAGAAGAGGAAAATCTTATAATAGAAAGATGGGTAAATTTAAATGTAAGAGAATTTGGTTCTGATTTTTGTGAAGAATCTAGTAAAGGTAGCATTCAAGAACTCAGTGAAAATGAAAAGACAGAAATTCAGATAATTATCAAAGATGTAGATGAGAACTGGAATTGGAAATCCACTGCAAATATATATGTTGACAACTAGATTTTTTTATAATAACATAAATATCTAATAAACTTACTGATTATAAGACTAATCGAAAATTTGATAAATTGTTTAATAAAAAAAAGACTTTTTTGTTATTTGGATATTATGGAAAATTTAGAATATTATGGAATTTCAGATTTTTATTTTTTTTTCCTAAATTTATTTAGGATTATTTCAGACTTAGATTTAGACTAAATATTTTGGTTTAGCCTATATCATTATATCTACTTATGTACTATTGATATTAAAAACATGTTCTATTTTGAACTAGCAAGCCTTCTCACTTATCTCATAAACTACTTCATTAAAAAATCAATCTTCACTTTTGACTATACTACAATTAGAGATAAATTTAAGAAATACCTTGTTGACTTTTTTTTCAAACTTCCATCCAAACCATCTGAAATCTCATTTCAAATCAGAATCAAACTTTCTACAAAATTATCAATAGCAAATAAAACCAATTTAATTGCAACTCTCCATATTTTAGTATCTTACTACAAATTCAATAAACTTTCCAATATTTATTTCAAAAAAAACTCTTATCTTCTAGAAAACCCAAATTATTTATTAATCAAATACATGAATATCTTTCATATTAAAAAAAGAAATAATTTAAACAATCTTTCCAAAATTACAAAAATTACTTACATGAAAAATACAAAGTTTCGTCCAAACTACCCAACACATATTTTAATCTTTTATTATCAAAAAAATCACTTCCAATAACATATAAACTCTCGGACCCCAAATACAAGCATCTTTTTCTATTCAATTCAAGAGATAGCAACTATACCTTACAAAAAACACTGACTCTACTCAGGAAAACTTATTACTTTAAACTTCTATCCAATGACCTTTTCTTTATTAGAACAAAATCCTTTCTTTTCTTTCAAAGCCTCACTTGAAACAAATATTATTTTCCAATAACAAATTCCAATAATATTTTGTCATTTCTCAAAACATTAGCCAAAAAATATATATTTACTAGCCCCCTTTCCAAATAATAGATTAATATTTCCCTATTTTAAACTCCAATTTCAATCCCAAACCAAACTAATAATATAAACAACAATGAACAAACCACAATGAACAAACCTTTATTTTCAAATGACTACTATTAAGTAAATGAAAAGCAGAAATCAATTTTCCAATTACCAAAAAATTGATATTTGCTTCAATATTATTAAAGCTCATCAATCCTACCAATTGTCAAGAATTCCTAATAGCTGGATTCAAATTTTCACCAAATTTCAACTTTCTACTCTTTCTGAACTCAGAAAATTTCTCAAAAAAAACATATACAAATAGAACTTTCAATTATCAATTAGGTTAACTTTATTTCAAAAATCTACAAACTAAGAGAATTTTTTACTTTTCAAAAACTACCAAATAAATATATCACACAAATTAAACTTATTGAATCCTCAATCAAATTTTTCAAAATTTTTTAACTAACAAGTACAAATATAATAAAAAACTTTTCAATATTCAAAAATTTTCTTAAAATTACTTCAACAAAAAACAAAAACAAACTCTCTTCATTAGAAATTGGCTCATTAAATGCTCAAGGTCTCAATGACCTTACAAAATTTAACTGCCTTTTTCAATACATCAAAAATAACAACTTGGTATATCAGAAACAAAACTCCAAACTACTAAAAAAATCACATATACCATCGAAAATTTTATTATACACTCAAGCAACCTTGACCAAAGTCAAGCAGGAGTTTCAATAATACTAAACAAAAACCTCTCAAATTATCTTTACAAAACTATTGAACTTTAAGGCTATATTATTTCAATTTTTCTTCAATTCAAACCAAAAATAAAAATATGTATAACACAAGTCTATCTTCCACATGACATAAACACAAAAAAAAAAACTATTATATATTTTCAAACACTTATTAATAACAATTCCTCAAAAAACATATCATATATTATTAAGGGTGACTTCAGCTCCACACTCAATTCAATAGACAGAACCTAAAAATCCAAACCAAAACACAAATCGCTCATCTTTAAAAACTAAACAAAAGCTATATCAATATATTCTATTTTTTCTTCCTTTACAAAACTCTATATATACAGTATATTTAGGATCTACTAGTTAAAGCTGTATCAATCAAATCTGGATTTCAAACTATATAGCAACCCAGTCCACTAAAACAAAAAATAATAAAAACTGAACCAGAATTTCACAGCAATCACAAAATCATTCCACTAATACTCTCAAACCTCTTAATCTCTAAACTATCTAAAAAAATACTTATTATCTATTATAATTTCAATTAAATAACTTCTAAATCTGGGAAACAATAAATATAACTATTGCTGAAGTTCTATTATTCTCTCTTGAGAAATCTTGCACTGAGAAAATCTGGAAATTTTTTAACTCAAGTATCATCAAAACTTTTAATAAACTAGTTCCAAAAACAAAATTCCATAAAAATATCTCATAAATCTTTAATAAAAAAGACAATCAATCAAATTTCATATTCATAATCTCTTTATATAAACTCCTTATCCAATCAATCACACAATACTAAAAGATTTCAAGGATTTCAAACTTTCTCACTTAAACAAAAATAATCAAATTAGTTTACTTAAAAAACTCTTCAAAATAACTTTCAAAACACTCAAAGTAGAAAACAACTTATAAAGAAAAGAAACAATTAGCAAAGTCATTAACCAACAAATAACAAATCTCTAAGAGAATCCAAAAATCATAATTAAATAAACTCTTAATCACAAAAATCCTCATGCTTCCTTTACAAAAATCATTGATCCAATTAATGAAGAAGTTATAACTGATGCTCTCCAAATATATCAAACAATCACAAATCACTATAAAAAAGTTTTTTGCAAATAAATAATCAATAACCAACTTCTCTCCAAATGGGAAAAACATTACACTTCACTTAGCAATATTAACTTCTAATGAGCCCAATCACAGAATATGAAATTACAAAAGCAATTAATTTACTTTCTAACAACAAGGCACTTGGATCATTTAAAATCACTTACTTCTTTATAAAACAAATCCAAAATACTTTACTTCCCACCTCTATAAAATCTTTAATCAAATACTTTTCTCTCAAGAAATTCCGATAGACTGGAAAAACTATTACATATTTTTTATCAACAAAAAGCTTTAATAGCAATACAATATTCAAGAAACAAAACCCATAGTGCTAGTTGATTTATTTCATAAAATTCTGACCAAAATATTAACCAAAAGACTCAGTTTTATTCTAACAAAACATAGCATTCTTCAAAAATCTAACTTTGCAGGTCTCCTCAACCAAAGCACTTTTGAATCAATACAAATTCTCAACTCAATTTATAACTCCAAAAAACTTATCCAAGAGGAACTATGGATCCTATCACTTGACATCAATATAGCCTTTGATTTAGTAAACTTAGATATGCTCAAAAAATCAATAAAAAGAATACATTTATCAGAAATCTTTATCTCTCTAACCAACAACATTCTCATAAACCACACTTGCCAAATAATAACAGATCTTGATTTCACTCAACAAATTATAATTCCTGATTGAATTGATCAAGAAGAAATATTATTATTTCTTTGATGAATTATTTTTTATAATCCACTAATCACAGCCCTAATACAACAACTCTCAAACTTAAAGCATAATATCATAACATATATTGTTGACATTGAGACGGTGAGTCTGTCACTTGGGGCAGGTCAAACTCGTGTAATGTTGGGGTAGGTTATTCTTCTTTTCTCTACTTGAGATATATATTTGACTTAGCTGATCTTGAATCAATAATTAACCTTCTTCTTTCCTTTATTACCCTTCATCGATTGTTCAAGTCATTATCCCTTTTAGTGACTACCAGAATGATCCTCTCACAGTAACATTACTCTAGAAGGAAGGTTAATTACAAACTTTCTTTTTAAGCATATCTATCACACTACTACTTTTAGTAATCTTTAATTAATACTCATACAACTGTTTCGCACTTCTATTAAAGGGATAATTTATTATTACTAAATTAAATTAGTGTTAGCATTATTGTTATTATTGTTCGAATTTCCTTTTTTTCTTTTGCACTTTTGTCACTCCTATTTATATTACCATGACTATCTGTTATAAGACTATTGCTATGACTTATAAACTATTATACTATATAAACTATATAAACTTCTGATTACATCATCTGAGTAATTACTAAGGTATTTCCATTGCTTCGATTAGGCATGTGATATGGATGTCGCATTTCCAGGCCTTATCTAAGCAATTTCCTCACTAACAATATGAATGATCTCAATTTTCTTACAATCTCAAAATCTGAAATACAAAATAATCTCAACATTGCAACAGAATTTTTCCAACTTAATAATATCAAAGCTAATTTAACAAAAACCAACTACTAGTCATAAACAGTGAAGTCTCTAACAAAAAAATCTTTCAAGAAATAATACCAATTTTTCTATTATCTAAAAAAGAACCAATAAAAATACTAGACATCTGACTCTCTGAATACAGTATTCTCACATTCAACCAGGACAAAATTCTTGAAGAAATAAAAACAATTTCTCAATTGCTCAAATTCAAATATATAACAGGTCACATGACATCATACATCTACAACAAAGTTCTTCTTCCATGTATAGAATATAAGCCCCAAACAACTTTTCTTACTCCAAACATGCTCAAAAATCTTCAAATGAAAATCAACTTAACTTTAAATCCAAATTCAATATTGAAAAAACTCTTTCTTAATCCTGATACTACAAACTTCATATCTTTAATATAAAACCAATAGTCGACTTGTAATTGAAAGTTCTGATTTCTAACCTACAATACACACTCTCCAATCCAGTTACCAAACATAGCAAGAAAAAGAAAATTACTGTTATATAAACACAAAACTGCCAACCTCTTTGTATTTTCCAAAATTAACAAGTACTTAAACACAATATCACAACCTATACAATACAACTTGCCAAAAATTATAATATTTCATTCTGCTCTAAAACCAACTGTTCACACAAACTCTATAAGGAAACACTTTTATCTATTAATTTTTATCATATTACTTAAACTAACCAATATTTGCAAAATAACTTTTCAAAAAATATGTCTACTATATTAAACAACTACTACAATATAACAAAAATAATTTCACAAACTGGCACCATATCTCAGCCAGATTTAGTTTTAATATCTATGGAAAAACACCTCTCTGATACAAACTACTCTTACAACAAAACTTCCAACAAATTGGCTTAGCCTTAATTAAACCAAACAAAAAAAGAAAATAGCCAGTATCTTTTATTAACAATGAAATAATTATAAAAAAAAAACAAAATACAAATACAACTAATGTTTTTATCAACCATTAGACTTACAACAACTATAACCCCAACAGATTAACACTCTTCAAATACCAAGAATATTCACAAAATATCCAAACAAGTACTCCCGATTGCCAACTCCTGGTTTCTATAAATTTCATCAATCTTTTTATCAATTTCAACTAAACAATTTAGCCAAAACAAATGTAACTAAAAATAATCTTTTTCAAATACTCTCTATAAAACCACCCTCTAATAATTCACAAATATTAATTCACTCAAATTTACATAAATTACTAATTCAAAAACATATTTTACCAATATCACAACCCACTATCAACTCATTTTTATAGTATAATAATACTCCCCTTGAAATCTTACTAATTTATAAATATCAAACTGATGTTATATAAGTTATTTGAAATTTTATCCAATATTAAAAATCCTATATAATCAACTTCAAATCAAATTCATATCTCTTGCTTCTTCATACAATAATTATAATACTATTATTCAATAAGTCAAAATAATACTATTTTTTCACCAAACATCCAAAATTAAATTGCAAAACCTTTTCTCCATCTTCTATTAATCATAGGAAAAATGCAAAATTTCATACTTCACCACTATAATAACTATTTATAATATAATTCAAACACTTCAAATCTCTTACACTTTTTTTAAACCCACAACCACAATGCAAAAAACACAATTAACAAATCTGCAATGTCACAAATTAACATAATTGATCCTTTATCAATATATTTCATACTTATTGACATAAATAAAAATCACATTTCATCAACAAGGCACTATATCAAACAAATAAACAAAATTATCTGCTTCACAGAAATAATTTATTCTCACTATGCTCAAACAACATTCAAACCAGATCTCTTACTTCAACTAGCACTTTAACTTTTTTCAAAAATACACCAATTTCAACAAATCAATATCAATCCAAAATCTATAATTTTTATCTCAAAATTCTCTTAAACATGTTTTCAACCAAATCCTATCTCTCTACTACTCTACCACACATCTACACAAATAATATTTGTCTATGCTGCAACTCAGTTCCTGAAACTATTCACCATATATGGCTTTGTAAATACAATACAGTTATAATTAAAAAAATTCTATCTGATATTCAAATTCTACGCATAAAAAAATTCAAAAACAACAAAAACTTCAGTTCTCACATAGTTCAAAAAACAATTAACACTAC